ACTTCCAAACCTCCAGTTGCTGACCATCTCTCCCTAGAAAGAGAACTCAAGCAAAATCAAAACTTTTATAATGCTTCTCACAGAAAATGGGGGTTTTAGAAACTGTCTTGTGATCTGTGGGGCCCCTAGGGTTTCTGCAAGTAGCCACCCAGTTGGATTTATGTTTCTTCCTCGCCCCAAAGGGCATGTTCCCGAAGCCTTCCTGGAACAAAGTATCTGATGCTAATATAGCCTGAAACCCCACTTCCTGAAAGAAAACTTGTTCAAGGAGCCAGTACACAGCATTGAACGTCCGCCACCAGGACTAGACCCTGCATTCGTAAGGCAAGCTTCTATAGGACCACGGATTCCCAACATCCTCTGCACCCTGCATCTGTTTTGTTGTTGTTGCTGCTGTTCTGCTTAGCATAATGTGTTTTTTAAGTTTATTACTTATTTTTTAGAGAGAGAGACACAGAGAGACAGAGAGAGAGATAGAACAAGCTGGGGAGGGAAAGAGAAAAGGGGAGACAGAGAATCCCAAGCAGGCTCTGCACTGTCAGCAACACAGCCTGATGCGAGGCTCAAACCCATGAACTATGAACCAAAACCAAGAGTTGGACGCTCAACCGATTGAGCCACCCAGGCGCCCCAGCATAAGGTGTTTAAGGTTTATCCAGTGTAGCATGCATCAGTACTTTACTCCTTTTTATAGCTAAATATCCCATTGTATGGATTTACCACATTTTGTTGATCTGTCTACCAATCTATGGGCTTTGGGAATGATTTCAGTTTGGGGCTATCATCGATAAGGTGCTTTGAACATTGTGTACAAGCTTTTATGTGGCCCTATCTCTTCAGTTCTCCTGGTTACATACCCAGAAGCGGAATTTCTGGATCATATGGTCAGCTTGGGTTGGAGCAACCTGCAGGGCAATGCCCCTCTCACAGGGCATGAGCCTGGGATCCAGGGATGGCTTTCTTCTAATGATTGCTTTGTGGATTTTGCTGTATTCATTGTAGAATCAAATAACTTTCTCCCCAATAACTCCTTTTAGATGGAGTACACTTTAAGACCCAATCATTACTACTCCACCAAATACACAAGCAACCAAAGAAAAGTGGACAAACTGCACATCATCAAAAACCCAAAATGCTGTGCCTTCAGTGACACTATCAAGGAAGCGGACAACCCACAGAATAGGAGAAAATATCTGCAAATGATATATGTGAAAAGAGACTTGTATCCAGAATATATAAAGAACTGTTACAACTCAATAATACAAAGACAGCCCAGTAAAGAAATGGGTAAGGGATCTGAGTAGACATTTCTCCACAGAAGACACACAAAGAGCCAACAAGCCCGTGGAAAGGCATTCCACATCGTTAGTCATCAGGGAAATGCACATGAAAACCACAATGAGACACCTGCTAGCTCTCAAGCACTAGGAAGGATGCTGCAGTCGACAAGACGAATAGCAACCAGTGCTGGCTGGTATGGGGATAGACTGGAACCTTCATACACTGCTGGAGGGCATGCCAAATGCGGTCATCCCTTCGAAAAAACAATTTGGCAATGGCTCAAAAATAGGTTACCTTCTGACCCAGAAACTCCACTCTGGGGTATATACCCAAGGGAACTGAATAACATGTCCACATAAAAATTGTGCCATGAATGAGGTCATAGCAGCATTACTGACAAGAGCCAAGAAATCGATCTAAGAATGCATTCATTGGTATATGAATAAATAAAATGTGGTATATCCATACAACGGAATGTTATTCAGCTATAAAAAGGAATAAAGTACTGATGCGTGCTACACTGTGGATGAATTTTAAAAATGTTACATCAAGTGAAAGAAGCCAGATGGAAATGACCACACATAGTATAATTCCACCTGTAGGACATGTCCCGAACAGGCAAATCTAAAGAGAGAGAAAGTAGATTTGTGGTTGCCTAAGGCTGGGGGGGATGGGATGGAAGGGGAGAGACTGCTAATAGGTGTGGGGTTTCTTTTTGGGGTACTGACTGAGCGCTGATTGCACAACTCTGCAAATATACTAAAAAAAAAAGGAATTATATACTTCGAATGAAATTAATTTTATGGTTTGTAACAAAAACAACCCAGCGCACACGCACACGCACACACTTTGCGGACATTCCTCATGGACATTCCAAGCTATGTGGAAGGAAACCCTGCACACAGCCCGACTTAAACCAACTGTGTCACTGGCCAGAGAGGGGGTTGCTCAGAGCCCCAGTGTGTTTCCTTCTAACTCTGCAGGGTTGTTTTGTGTGTGTGTGTGTGTGTGTGTGTGTGTTTTTAACATCTTTAAATGAACTACACCAACACATCAGTTCTTCTCCCTTGGGAGGATGTTTTTATTGAACAGTAACTTCAACAAACCCCTGAGACATTTTCATCAGTTCATTTGCAGGTAAACACAAAGCACCAGCCATTCATGCCAAACTGTGTCAAGTTCACAGCACCCATTGTGTCACATGTTAAAAAGGCCATGCCTGCCACCACACACAGAGCACCCCCTTGGCCGCAGATTCCACTGCAAGTCCACTTTTATGGTCCGTGCCTCTTTCACACAGAGTCCACATGCACTGGGGACTTCATGCGGTCTCCATATGGAGCTCTGCACTCTATTTCTTTCCACTGGACTCTTCCCTCTTTCTAATGGGTGTAAGACAAACAACTCCAGGGAACACCCTAGAAGAGACCCTTCCAGAGAGACCGGTTTCCTTGAGTCCGGTAATCACATTTCACTTATCTATATACCTACCCCCAGTGCCCAGCACAGAGCTTGGCCCTGAGCAAACATGTTAAATATCCAGGGTTTTTAAAGTTTATTTATTTTCAGAGAGAGTACGCACACATGCATGCACACGCACAGGGGAGGGGCGGAGAGAGAGAATCCCAAGCAGGCTCTGCACTGTCAGCAACACAGCCTGATGCGGGGCCCAGTCTCACAAATGGAAAGTTCTTGACCTGAGCTGAAATCAAGAGTTGAACACTTAACTGACTCAACTACACACATACCCCCTGGATATCGGTTGTACAACAGGATGGATGGATGAGTAGAGGGATACACAAATGGACAGATGTGGGCAGACAGGTGCGTGGATAGACAGTTGGATGGACGGACAAACAGGATGGACAGATGGATGGATGGGTATCAGGACAGATGAACAGACAGGTGGGTGGATGGATAAATGAATGGAAGGACAAACATGGTCAGACGAGTGGGTGGACAAATGTGGACAGATGGACAGCTGAGTGGATGGACAGATGGATGGACAAATGTGGACTAATGGAGACAAGTGGGTAGGTAAATAGACAGATGGACCAACAGGTAGAGGAAAAGACGGACAGATGGGTGGACGAACACACAGATGGACGAATAAATAATTAACAGAGGTCCCATCACATGTGCCCTCTGTCCACTTACGGAAACAGCAGTGAGTATCTGGTGCTGGTGGTCTCCTGCCTAAACCCAGGCTCCAGGATAGGAATTTACTACACCCCTAAAAAGCTAAACCTGTTCTTCCATCCATCTCCAGAGTCTAGCAACAGATGAACAGAAGGAAGCTGTCACCCCTCACCCTTGAGGTGATCTATTACCGTTCATTCCCCATGCAGTTGAGGACTGCCTCTACACTGGTGCTGGGGACACAAGCAACTGAGCAGACCCAGGGCTGACCCTGGTGGTGACTCATGGGGCTCACAGCTGAGTGCCCGGTGTTTTGAGAACATATAGGAAGGGAAGAAGGAGGTGGTCAGGAAGGGACATCTGAGACTAGATGTAGGAGTAGGAATCAGACTGATTGACAAGCTGTGTGTGTGTGTGTGTGTGTGTGTGTGTATGTACACGCGCATAAGAGGGGTAGGGAAGGGAGAGTGACAGAGAGGGAGGAGGGGAGGAGGGAGAGTGAAAGAGAAAATGGAGGACAGAGAGAAAGACAGAAGGACAGAGGGAGGGAGGAAAAGGCACATGCCCATGGCAGAACAAGTGCATGAGCGCTGACCCTGAAGCAAGGGCACAGGTGCATCTGATGGGAAAGCCCAGGCAGCTGGGATATAGAACGCAAGGTAGGCGTGCCCAGAGATGGGAGCAGAGTCATCAGGACCCTCTGTGACAGGCCTGGATGCTCCAAAGATAGTGACAGAGCCCCAGAGGGGTGTCCCCAGGGATAAGATCAGGTCTGCATTCACACGGAAGCAGGAGCCAGGACCGCATTGCCTGCCCCAAAAACGACTCAGCCAGCTTCCTCTGGTTAGAATCCTACTGAACATCAGTGAGGCTACGCCAGCTGCAGAGAAACCCCCGCCACAGCTTTCAGGGAGCAGGCTCTGGGGCCTCATGAGGCAGCCTGGACCACGCCTTACCCCGTGGAAGGCCTGCTTCTCCTGTCCTCACTGGGCTCTTATGGGCAGGGGGTCCCTTGATTCAGCTCAGAAGCCCTAACAGCGCCCGAGCACATGCCCCAAGCAGGGCCCTGTAGGTAGCCGAGGAGGCCACTGTCACACTGGGGGTTGGCTGGTACCTTTAGACTCACCTTTACCAGTGTGGGCCTTTTCCCTCCAGGCACCAATACACTGGAAAAGCCATCAGCCCAGAGCCCCCTCCAGTGGCTTCCCCTCTGAATCAGGCCATGTCTGAGATCCTGAGACCCGCCTGGAGCCTGCTCTAAGTGCCTCCTGTATGCGAGGCCAGATGTGAGCGAGGGACCCATGGATGGTTTGCACCAGCCAATCCCGGCCACTGCCCTCGGGGAGCTTCTGATGTGGCTGAAGTTTCTCTGGAAAAGAAATGTGCCTCCCCAGAAACCCTTCTGGTGTCTGTGGTCTCACGGTGACATCTGGGCTGGCATGGGCAAACCTGAAACAGATCTCTGCAGTGCAGGCTGGAACGGGCATGGCCCTTCTCCGAGCTTCAAGAAAGAGGCACATGTGTGTGGTTCCAGTGAGATCTTTACAAACCGCCCCCCGAGTAACAGAAACTACACTAGGTTAAACAAATAAGCTTCTGAAATTCGAGCTTGGGAAAATAACTACCTGCACCTCTTTAGATCTTTGTGCTTGAGGAACGCGGCACTTTCTCAGGCTTTCTATCACCTGGGCCCACAAAACAAGCCTGAGGTAGTCAAGGTCTGTGCGGTCGCCCTCTCCTCGAAGGGGAACACAGCAGGGACAGAAGCCAGCTCCCGGCCACAGGAGCATGGAGTGACAGGGGCAGCTCTCACACCCGTGGCCCCTGGGGCCCAGACAGGCCCCTCAACAAGAGTCAGGATGGCGTCTGGGAGTTAGGAGCTGGGCCGCACGTGCTTCTTGTGGGACTCCCAGGCCAGTCCTGCATCCGGCACGGTCCTCTTGGCTTCCTTCCTGGCCGGCTCGGCCCCCCAGGCTCGCCCAAGCCGCCCTGCTTCTTCTCCCACTCCGCAGTCTTCATCACTCTTGGTCTGTTCCCGCTCTCCGCTGGTCCTCTCCTGAATCAGGAAAAAAAAAAAAAAAAAGAAAAAAATCAACAAAGCTCTCCAATGCTGGCTGGAACAAGCCCGCAGTGTCCTGGCCGGGCCCCTGCACTCACTGCGTGCTCAGATTCAGAACGGCTGAGCCGGGTTCCAACACCCCAGCCAGCCACAGGGACACTGGATTTTGTTCTTAAGATGCTCTGGACACGTATTTACTGATGGGAACATACTTCCTGAAGGGAACTGAAGAGCCCAGCCCATGGAGATCTGAGAAAGGGCAAAGCGAGAAGCACTACTTTAAAAGGTGGCACCCTTATGCTTGAGCACGTGGACCTCCCAAGATGCCTGCCCACGGGCGGGACGTCACACTGAACACCTCCTGCTTCCTCCAAAGGCCTTCGAGGTTTAAATGCAAAGTCAGGGATCCGCAAAGAGGCAAAGCACAATACTGTCAGTTCGGTGGCCTGGTAGAATCGTCAGTGAGCCAAATTTTCCATTGCAAACCAAAGAAAATGAAAGCCCCCTCCTCCGCCCGCTTTTCTAAAACAATCCAGCACTTACTGGGATAGATCATGCCTTTGGTGTCACGTCTTCTATCCCCGTATCATCTACTTTCCAAAATAAGCAGTACTGCCCACAAGTTGCAACTGTTAAGTTTGGGAGCTTAAAATCATTAATAATTCTTCAGGAATTCAAGAGCAAACACCCTTCTGTGGCCGAGAAGGGGCGTTATCAGAACTATCTTATACCGGCCAATGTCTGTCTTGGCTTCGGGAAGATGCCTCATGGAATCACATCACTTCAAAGCAGACCACTAAGGTGGACCAATAAGAAATACTTAGCAGCCATCCTTGTCGGTGGGTCTATTCTCTCTCATCACTCTGGGCTCCACAATGACCTAATGCCATATTCCATTTTGCAGCATCTGGGCTTAGAGGCGTGGAGGAGGAAAGAAAGAAATTTGTCCGCACATTTGCTCCGCTTGAAAGACACTGGTCCATGGCAGAATGTGAAATTCAGATTTTCCAATACTTCCTTCAGAGAGCAGGGTGACGCTGATTGCCACGTGTTCTCTGCTTAGTTCTGGCTTCGTTAGAGCTTGTGCAGCTCAGAGAAGAGGACCGTGAAGAGTCTAATTACGAAGGCCTCGCCTCACGCCGCAGCACAGAGACTCCGAGTGTGAATCAACAGCCCGCTGCCGTGGAGAAGCCCACAGCCAAGGTGGTGAGGGAGAGGCCTCGTGGGTTCAGAGCTTCACTAAACAAGCACAACGTGATTGCTAAGAAAACAAGACACATTCCCAGAATGACACATTCACCACCGTACCTTCTTGCCTCCTTCACGACCAGACATCCTGGGTCCATCATCTGGAGAAGTCTGCCCACAACTGCTCACATCCTCCTGGGAATTTCCTGGGTGTGCTGCCCTCCCCAAGCAAGAGAGTAGCATAAGCAAATGGAGGTGGCCCCGAGGGAGCAATCAAAAGATTAACAGTACAGCAGGGACCCTTCCAAAAGTACCGATCACCACGACCCAATTCTATCCTCATGACCTTCACTGTGACACCTGCTACAGTGCCTTCTGGAGAAAAGGGAAACTTGCCAGGTTTGGGGAGACATGAAGCAATGGTTCTACTCAAGCGTGTCTCCCATCCAGGTACTAAGCAGGCCCTTCCCTGCTTAGCTTCCAAGATCAGAGATTGGGAGTAGAGCCGTAGGCACTACTCAAGCATTTCTGAGCTGGAATTCTTTTCTTCCAATTATCTGGACATTAAACGGAGTGAGCCTTGCAGAGCTATTCCTAGGCCCTTCTCTTTGCTCGCTGGAATTGTTACTCACAAGAGAACCCATAATCACCCTTGTTAATTCAGCCCTCCTCCCCCTTTCCAAATCAGACCGAACTTGGAAAGGATAACTTTGCTGTCCCACTGTGTACTTCCTACATCCCAAAATCCATACGTACAGGTATGTGATGGGGGGGGAGGGGAGGGGCACTCAGATGCTTTAGGAAGAAAAGTTTTCCAGTTGAGCTAAAAATGCAAACGAAACACATTTTTTCAAATAAAAATAACATTATTGAAACGTTACCTATACAGGTAAATTTTAAAGTTTATTTACAGACTTTATAAATTAGCCAACTTTGGTTTGGCAAAATTGAATCCTAAGCAGTGAAAAACACCAGAGTACTTCAGGGCTCCCTTGGGAGTTTCTATATAATGCAGTAATGATTCCTCATGTACTTCTCTTTGCAAAAGTAAGCTCATAAATGAGTTCAGAGACTCAGCCTTATTCACTACTATATCCTTATCACCTCAACCAGTGGCCTGGCACTGGGAGATCCTCCATTAATCTCTGAATGAATGAATGAGTGAATGAATGAATGAGAATGCATGAATGAATAAATCAGAGAATGAAGCAGACAATTCAGTATATTCTACACTTCCTGATGTGTGAAACTATCTTTTTATGCGTTACAGACTAAAGTGTGCTTGGTAACTATCAAATGTTTACTTGTATTTTATTCCTAACCAATAACAGTTCAATAATTTTTAAAAATGAATGCTCTAGGGGCGCCTGGGTGGCCAGCTTCAGCTTGGGTCATGATCTCGAGGTCCGTGAGTTCGAGCCCCGCGTCGGGCTCTGTGCTGAGCGCTCAGAGCCTGGAGCCTGTTTCAGATTCTGTGTCTCCCTCTCTCTGACCCTCTCCATTCATGCTCCGTCTCTCGCTGTCTCAAAAATAAATAAATGTTAAAAAAAAAATGAATGCTCTAATTTGGAAGCACGAGGATAAGAATCCGAGAAGCAACCACACAGGTAGGTCACAGTAAGTTACCATCCAGGAGTTACTCCCATATGGGACGCAGTAGGTGACAATGGCCGCTAGAGGGAGCCACACAACCTTTCAAAGAGCAGCATTAGGAAAAACCCATCCAGGATGATGGTACTGCTATGCACTTCCCACCAGAGCTCACGCCGCCAAATTGCTGTAACTACCACACTATGTCATGTCCAACTCACCAAAAAAAACTGAGACAAGCTCCGAGCTGCAAGCATCAAATTTTTAGAAAAAAGACCCTGCCCGCCCCGCCCCCGGCCCCAGCTCAGAATTCATTCACATCTTTTTATATACATACACCATAGCTTTAAAAATTAAATGTAGCGGCTCAATCCGTTGAGCATCTGACTTCAGCTCAGGTCATGATCTCACAGTCCGTGAGTTCGAGCCCCGTGTCGGGCTCTGTGCCGACAGCTCAGAGCCTGGAGCCTGCTTCGGATTCTGTGTCTCCCTCTCTCTCTGCCCCTCCCCCATTCACACTTTCGCAAAAATAAAATAAAATAAAAACATAAAAAACTTAAAAAATTAAATGTGAATAAAATTCTTTTCCCTGTGGATAACAATTGAATCTATTAAAAACTCACCTGGGAAGAAAGCAACACTATAACCTAAACAATGAAAACAATGATTTTTAAAGCTGTGTGCAATTATTTCCTGCCTCCAGCCACATTTTTGTAAAAGAACACTCAACTGCTGGAGGATTCAATTTCATCTCCTCCAGTAAAGAAACTTAAGGCATGTGCAAGCTAACTGAGAAGTCACACCAGACAGAATTATGATCCTATTGGTCAAGTTTCAAAGGCTTCATATGTAACTGAGTGTAGGAAGGAAAAAAAAAATTCCCACAAACTCCTTCTCTCAAAAGTTCTGAAAACGCTGTAAATATTTTCAGGGCCATTATAAGCCACAGATGTTATCAACAGGCAAGATCGTGCAAACTTTAAAAGACCTCGTCCATAAATGACGCTGCTTCAAAAAATAGATTTTGAAACCCTGGAAAGGAGCACAAGTTAATTTCCCTTTGGAACATTGTAAAACGTCCATGCCTTACTTAGAATGTAAAAAACAATTGGCTCCCCCGGGCTTCTTGCTTACAGTTCTACCGCTACAGCACATGAAACTGTAGGAGCCCTCCAAAATCACAGCCAGAAATAAAGAAACAAAAGATAGAACTTGAAAAGCAGAACAATTCAAGAAAGCAACTCTAAGAATAACGGGCTGGTTAAAAACTAAAATTAAATTAAATGGCTGTGTGACATTTCCAGGCAAAAGAAGATTCCAGAACCTGCACTGTGGGGTGACCTGTGGGAAAACCTAACAGGCTAACACAGATTTCCATGAAGGCAGACAGACTGTAAACTGAGAAAATGCAGAGCATCTGGGCTAATCTGTGATTGCATTTGCAGCCCCCCACTCACCAACCTGGAAAAAACCTGAAATGTCAATGCTGACAAAATTGTTACAAGATGAAGCTGGCTGGCTGAAAACCTTCCTGACTGAATTAAAATCCTGACTGCTGGCCCTGGGGGGACACAGAAGTTGTGGGTGAAACCGAGAACTAGCCATGATTTATACAGGGAGTGAAAAGATCATAATTTAGCATTTTTTTAATTATATAGTTTTAATTATCTAATTATATCCTGATCATAACGATGACCCTTCTTCCTTCAAAGGACTCCAAGCATGCTTCTGGAACATTCCCCGTGCAAGTTCCTTCATTTGCTGTTTTAAAGAGAGAGTTGGCAAATCTCACAGTGAGTTAAAGTGACAGGTCTGGCATCTGACTTGCAGCTCAGTTTCCTGTGACCAGACCACACCAACTCTCAGCTCTTGAAATAACCCCAGCGGCATTCTCCTCCGAGGGAAGCAGTCTCCCCAATTATGCGAACACGTTCTCCCACTGCTTACCCCCCTCCAGCCTGTGCAATTTCCACATTATTTCCACATTCTGATATGCAACACTTTTTTTTTCCCCTTCATTCCCAGCCAAGGAGCTGCAACATCCAAGACACAAAGGCCAAGTCCAGGTGGGAGCTGCAGGCTCATTTGTGACGTTTCTTGATAAACCCACACAGCTGGTCAGCTTAGTGCATGGGGATCCGGGCAAGCTCCCCTTTCATTTCTAACTGTGGGTGCCACAGGGCAAGTCACTTAACCGCCTCATTAGGATCACAGTCACAGCCCTACCATGGCCTGCTTCCCAGGTGCCTGGTCACCCCATTAATATCTGCAGAGATCCATTAAGCCTTCTAGCTGAAAGGCACCATAAAAGCAAAACCTATCATTGTTATCATCAATAAACTCCAAGACGCTCTTCCCTGTCACGACCTAACGTAAATCAGTTACCCACGTGGAAAGCCCACCGAGGCCTAATGAGCTACCTACAGCCTGGGAAATGGCATTTGATGTTGACAGGAGCTTTCTTCCCCGGAGGCGGGGAAGGAAAGCCAGTGCTTTCACTTTGGCGGGTGAAACTTAAAACTGTTAGACCCTCCTGAGCCTCCCACCCACACACAGCACCTGCAGCCTGAAAGGGTTTGCCGGGATTCAACCCTGCCCTCCAAGGCCCTCTCCCTGAGCACTGAGCTGAGAACCAACAGCAATGTGCAATCCATCCCGGGGGGAGTGCAATCCATCCCCGACGTGGGAGAGGAGGAAGGCACACTGTCAAAAAGCAACTTGGGGAACCAGACACAAGTGAATCTGGTCTTCCCACCCCATCTCCCCTTGGGACCCTCTGCCCGTTCTCATTGCTTGAAAACACCCTCCATCAAAACCCTGCCGGCAAACACACCGTGGTGCTATAACAACCTCAAACTTAAGACAATGCCTGTCGATAACAGGGACTGCCCAAATAAACACCTCCATACAGCAGCTTACTATGCTGCCAATAAAAAGGGCGGGGACAAAGTACTCATTTGCAGAACGCTGTCTCTGCAATGCTACCACTTACGTATGCCTGCCATCTCCCCCAAGGGAAGGAGGGGGTGCATGGAAGCCTTGCTCTTCAAGGTAAACCCTTGTGTGGCCTTCCAATTTTTAACCAGGTGCACACATTAGACCTCTTCTGGGTTTCTGTGATCCCTTCGAGTTATAAACAGGGAGCCACTCTGTCCCAGGGAGCTTCTGATTTAGTTAGATTGGGGGAGATCTTCATCAAAGTCCAGAAGATGTGGCTCTTTCGGGAAAGGAAGGTAGACCAAGGACAAGAAGCCACGACCCCGGAGGCGCCTGGGTGGCTCAGTCGGTTGAGCGTCTGACTCGGTATCAGCTCAGGTCCTGATCCCACCATTTGTGAGATCAAGTCCCACACTGGGCTCTGAGCTGATAGTGCACAGCCTGCTTGGGATTCTCTCCCTCCCTCTCTCTCTCTCTCAAAATAAATAAACATTTTAAAAAAGAAATAAACAAGAAGGCACCACCCTGGTCTCACTCCCTCCTCTGTTCTTGCAACAATAAACATAACACCTGCCCGGGCCTGACTCCATCCGTATGCATTAACCTGTGCTTCAAAGGGCACTTTATTCGCTGTGACTCACGGTCTGGAAGTCTTGACTGTTGCAGTTGAATCTTCAGCCAGATGCTGCCTCGCTGGCCCCAGGCTCCTGGGGGTTCCACCTCCCAAAGGCGACCCCGCTCCTCCGGATGGGCCAACAGGAACTTCCTGCACACTGAGGATGGATGTGCAAGAGTGAGCCAGGAAGGCCCGCCCCCTCTGCGTCTCAGGGGCGTGTACTTCCGGTTCCAGCCAAGGCCCCGCCCCACCCTGGCTCTGCTCTGTTTCTGCTGCAGGGGCACCAGTGTTTGGCCTCCTCAGCTGTCACCCCTCATGCTCCCGCTTTCACCCAACCCATCTTAGCTGGGGCCACCATAACAAAGCACCACACGTTGGGGGGCTCCAACAACAGACTTCCACTGTCTCACGTGGTGGGGGCAGGAAGTCCCACGGCCAGGCATGGGCAGAGGCTTGCAGATGGCTGCCTTCCCACAGTGGCGTCGCATGACCTTCCCTCTGCACCCATCCGTGTCCCAGGCTCCTCTTTTATAAATAAGAACCACTTCTTTATGGGGCGCCTGGGTGGCGCAGTCGGTTAAGTGTCCGACTTCAGCCAGGTCACGATCTCGCGGTCCGTGAGTTCGAGCCCCGCGTCGGACTCTGGGCTGATGGCTCAGAGCCTGGAGCTGGCTTCCGATTCTGTGTCTCCCTCTCTCTCTCTGCCCCTCCCCCGTTCATGCTCTGTCTCTCTCTGTCCCAAAAATAAATAAACGTTGAAAAATAAATAAATAAATAAATAAATAAATAAATAAATAAGAACCACTTCTTAAGAATCTATTGGATCAGGGCCCCACTCCTATGACCTCATTAAATTCTAATTGCCTCTTTAAAGGCTCCACCTCCACGTATAGTCACATGGAGGGTAAGCTTTCAACATAAGGCTTCGGGGGACCCAATCAGCCCTTAACATCCCCCCAACACTGTCCTCTCCTCGGGCACTGTCCCTCCTTATCCTGAGCCTCCCCAGCCCTCCTCTCCCACAGAACTTCCAGCTCATCCTCTGCAGATGCCTTGATTCCAGTCACCTCAAGGCTTAAAGACTTTTATGTCCGCATTCACAGGGTGAGAGTTTTCTCCTGGCAGTGCCCCAAGCTCAGCCAAATGGGCAGCTGCTCCTGGTCCCGCAGGTGCCCATGGGGACCCCGTCAGGCCCTCCCCTCATACGTCCCAGCCGGGGGCAACAGCACAGATGGAAACCTCCAGAGGGTGAAACTAAGTATTCGGAAAGTGTAAGCCAAACTAGCAGAGTGCTAGATAGAATGTTCTGCTCTCCTATCTTGACAAATATAACTTCATAACAACAGGGAAAGCCAGTTTCAAATTTAGAATTCTTGGACTCCTTGGAGTTTTGCACCAGAATGTGGCAATACTGAGGGAGCTGGGGGGGCCCCCCCCCGGACAGCCGGCCCACCCGCTTCTCCTTCTACCCCAGCCCCACACACGTACACAGCAAGGGGCCTGTGAATGCAAATGTGAACACCACGCCCACACTCCACCCACATCCCACCAACGCCTGTCCCTAGGGTCTAAAGATATGCAAACTGGTGGCATGGTCCACCCTTATGTGCAGACCCAAGGATGGGGTCCACTCGGGCCCTCACGCCACTGGCAGGAACCCAGGGGTCCTGGTACCCTGAGTCAGCTTAGAAGGAGTGGTCTGGACCCAGGAAGGACGATACTCTTGGGCCCACAGACTCCTCACACCACGGAGAGAAACGCAGCTGCAAGAGAGCTTTAAAGCGTAGGGCTCTGGCCTGCCCTTTGAATGCAAGAAGGAATCCTACCGGTCATGGGGCGCCTGGGTGGCTCAGTCGATTAAGTGTCTGACTTCAGCTCAGGTCATGATCTCACGGTTCGTGAGTTTGAGCCCCACGTCGGGCTCTGTGCTGACAGCTCGGAGCCTGGAGCCTGCTTCGGATTCTGTGTCTCTGTCTCTCTCTGCCCCTCCCCCACTCATTCACTGTCTCTCTGTCTCCCAAAAATAAAAACATTAAAAAAAAAAAAAAAAGCCAGTCAGTAAAGTGTGCAGGTGGCACACACCTGAACCCAGTCCTGAACCTCCAGCTGCTTCTTTCTCCATGTTCTACCTGTTCACATACATGCCCAGGTACAGTCAGGGGTGACGTAAAAGCCTGAGGCCCCAACATCCTCAGCTGGGCAGCTCAAACCCCCAAGACACGACGCGTGCTTCAGATCAGCACCTTCTTATTTTCTTTCTCTATGGGGCAGAGATAGAAAAGGGAAAAGCAGGGGGGTGCCTGGGTGACTCAGTTAGGCATCCAACTTCAGCTCCGGTCATGATCTCAGAGTTTGTGGGCTCGAGCCCCGCGTCAGGATCCATGCTGACAGCTCAGCCTGGAGCCTGCTTCGGACTCTGTGTCTCCTTCTCTCTCTCTGCCCCTCCCCCACTCGCATTCTGCATCTCTCAAAAATAAACATTAAAAAAAAGAAAGAAAGAAAAAGGCGAGCAGCGATCCACAAGACCCCGCAAGGGTACCTGCAGTGCTGGTTCTGGGGTGCCCTCCCCCCTCCGTGAAGACTGATACTTCCCTAGGGAAACCTGAGGTGGCCACACTGAGAGGCCAATGCACTCAAACAAAGGTCTCGGAGCTGATGCAAAAATTAGGAGAGAGAGAGGACAGGCATGTGGTTCTGGAACTTTGCAACACCTCAAAGTGAGCAACACAGTACAGGAATCCTGGAATGCTCTTTGCAGAAATTCAAGGCTCTTCAGAGTTTAATTATAGACCATGAGTTTGGAAATATAAAGAAATGACTAAACCTACTTGAAAATATGTTTTCACCTGCTTTTCTTAGGACTTTAGAGCAACAGAAGTTTCCTTACCTTCCCTACGTTTTCTCTCTTATCTCTTGATCTCCCCATACCATAATGGTACTGGAAACTCAGTACTAAGGGCCCCAAAACATCTGTATGACAAGAAGTGAAACAGTACCCAAGGTGGAAGGGGTGTACTTCACAGCAGGGGTGTGGGGAACCTAGAGAGATGCTCACCAGAATCTGCCCCCCTTACTGACTTGGAATGTAATGTTTAACACCAGGGCTTGTTTCATTTCCTCTGAAAAAAATATACATATAAGGATTTGTCTTCCAGAACATGAAAAGGGATTGTGATAGCTCATTTTAAGTGTCAACTTGACTGAGCCAGGGGGTGCCCAGATATTTGGTCAGACATTATTCGGGGTGTGTCCGTGAAGGCGTTTGGGATGAGATGAACATTTGAATCAACAGACTGAGTAAAGCAGATTGCCTTCCCTCATGTGGGTGGGCCTCATCCAATCAGTTGAAGGCCTGAATATACAGGGAAAAGGCTGACCCTCCCACAAGTAAGAGGGAACTCCTGCCTGTCTGGTGAGCTGGGACATGGGTCTTTTGATGCCTTTGGATTTGACCCAAAAACTTTTTGTTGGCTTTTCTTGGGTCTGGAGCCTGGCAGAATTTGCACCGTTATGACACCATCGGCTCTCCTGAGTCTCCAGCTTGCTAACTGCAGATCTTGGGAGTCTCAGTCTCCACACCATGTGAGCCAATTCCTTATAATAAATCTCTCGTGTGTGTGTGTGTGTGTGTGTGTGTGTGTGTGTGTGTGTGTATACCCTATTGGTTCTGTTTCTCTGGAGAACCTTGACCAGTACGGGGACTCAGTAGGGTAAGAATGGAAGAAGGGGACTGTCTTCTGCAGCAAGAGCTATGAGGTACTTGGGGGCTCAGTGCGGTCAGAGCTTGCCTTTGCACTCCAGCTGCCCTCCCAGACAAAGCTCCTGGGCTCCCTTTCAGCGTCTAGCTGAAAGGACTAAGTCATGGGCTCTAAGTATCAGGTGAAACCGCAAAGGCCCTCTGAGCGCCCAGCAGGTGCACTTCTCTGGATTCTGCTTCTCTCTGACGCCATGTTTTTTATTATTTCTAAATCCAGTTATTTCTACGGCTGGGAAAGTCTCCCCCCCCCCCCTCGGTGCCACAGCATAAAGTCTCATCTGTGCTGAAGCAACGGGAGATTTCTCAGGAGGAAGAGAAAACCCAAACGCAGAGAGTGTCAAGGAACCTGCCTCCCCGGAACCACCTAGAACACACGTGTTATCCATCACCGTTGCCCATACGTTTCCGCCTGACACAAAGCGGGTTTACCTTTGAACATGGCGGGAGAAATCGGCCAACTGACGCCCAGAGCCTCGTCCTCACAGAACGTCTCACAGAAGTCCTGCAGCATGGCCGTGCCCAGGCCCTGGCGGCGGTAAGTCCTCCTGACAAACACGGTGTCGAAGACGGGGAGCAGGTAGCATGCACCCGGGCCATCACCACACAGGCTGCCTGCAGGGAAAGGAAGAGACGGGCGCCGTCCCAGGCTTGCACCAAGCTGCCAGGGCCCTGCGGGACTCCCACACAGCCGGGTCACTGGTACCACCTAGAAGGGCTCACATCACTAAGACAAAAGAGCAGATCATCCCAAACCACCAGTTCTCCAGCCGACTGACCAGCCCACATGTTATTGATCACGAGGAGTGCAGCCCCCAGACTGTTGTACCGAAATGAAAAGCAAACGCAGGTGCATGTGCCATTCACGCACCCAAGAGCCTCAGATGCCGCCCGCGCTGTGCAGAGTTTACAGAGACACTGGAAGCCAATGAGGGGCATCTGGACATCAAGGTTTGCCGTGAACCCGAGGGATATGGGCTGGGAGACCCACCCAACACATCTCTAGGGCATGGACTTGTTTCAGTAACTCTAACAAGCAGTCATCGTCTCCAATTAAGACAGAGTGCATTTAGGGGCACCTGGGTGGCTCAGGCGGTTAAGCATCTGACTTCGGCTCAGGTCATGATCTCACGGTCTGTGAGTTCGAGCCCCGCGTCAGGCTCTGTGCTGACAGCTCAGAGCCTGGAGCCTGCTTCGGATTCTGTGTCTCCCTCTCTCTCTATTCCTCCCCTGCTTGCTCTCTCTCTTAAAAATAAAGATAAGGGGCGCCTGGGTGGCGCAGTTGGTTAAGCGTCCGACTTCAGCCAGGTCACGATCTCGCGGTCCGTGAGTTCAAGCCCCGCGTCGGGCTCTGGGCTGATAGCTCAGAGCCTGGAGCCTGTTTCCGATTCTGTGTCTCCCGCTCTCTCTGCCCCTCCCCCGTTCATGCTCTGTCTCTCTCTGTCCCAAAAATAAATAAAAAACGTTGAAAAAAAATAAAATAAAGATAAAAAAAAAAAAAGGACAATGTGCATTTACCCCAAGCAGACTAAGTCCTGCCTCCCCTACAACATCAGTGACCTTGCTATAGCAGAGCAAGAGGGGCCACAGTTGGCACCCTTCCCACCTTTCCACCCTGAACTGAACTTCACTGCAACCAGCACCAATACCAGCACAGTTGCTGTTTCTGCAAAAGGAATTTGGCCTTGGCCTTGGCCTTGCAAGTTCACCTGCGTTGTCACCCTAACCAGAAAATCAATGCTACACAGAGCCTACTACATCACCTGTCTTCCAAACGTACAGATGCCTGCACCCTAGATGCACGAAAACCCAGGAAAAGAAGTATGGAGCATATTCAGATTCAGCTCCTATTGGAAGAAGTTTTTGTCCCTGTCGAGAATCAGATGGCGGGTAATTTCCCAAGCGAAAAAACTGACTCCGATTCTGATCAGCCAGACTGAGTTGCAGGGATACATGCTACTGTAGTGAACTGCTTGCAAAAAATGAGCACAATTATTCCCCTTCCTATATCCACATCACATTACATGTGATTCCGAAGCACCTCCCATCAAAAATGGGGCCTGGCTTCATGGGGTCCAGTGCCCCTCTACTATTCTTTCTCAGATCCCTGCTACTCACTCTAAGAACACAACTGGATTAGCCTGCCACCATAACAGAAACATGGCCTGGGCACCCTTGTGGTCCCAGCAAACATCTAGCCAGTCCCATGGAGCAGAACCACCTACTACCCATCCCACCCAGCTGAGCCTCAGCAAAACTGTCATCCAAAAGAATGGTGAGCTGAACAGTTGATTTTGTGCCAAAAATGAATGAAGAAGTAATCTGAGGCCAGTGATCAACACCACCCAACTCACTTGAGATGGTTAAGTATAAAGTATTTGAATTTCACCCTCAATGTTCCTGAAATGACAGTACAAACTTAGGTTGGAATTCTGCGGTTGCCAACTTTTATATTGAGGAGAACAACATTCCCCAAATGGTAGTCTTCCAAAGCTGAGAAACATTAAAATTACATAAGATACAATTCCTTTAAAAAAAAAAGAGTCAATATTGGGGCGCCTGGGTGGCTCAGTCAGTTGAGCCTCCGACTTCGGCTCAGGTCACGATCTCACGGTCTGTGAGTTCGAGCCCCGCGTCGGGCTCTGTGCTGACAGCTCAGGGCCTGGAGCCTGATTCGGATTCTGTGTCTCCCTCTCTCTCTTCCCCTCCCCTGCTCATGCTCTGTCTCTCTCTGTCTCAAAAATAAAAACATTGAGGCACCTGGGTGGCGCAGTCAGTTAAGCGTCCGACTTCAGCCAGGTCACGATCTCGCAGTCTGTGAGTTCGAGCCCCGCGTCAGGCTCTGGGCTGATGGCTCAGAGCCTGGAGCCTGTTTCCGATTCTGTGTCTCCCTCTCTCTCTGCCCCTCCCCCGTTCATGCTCTGTCTCTCTCTGTCCCAAAAATAAATAAACGTTGAAAAAAAAAAGAGTCAATATTTAGGGATATATTTATTATGCCTTGAATACTGAAAAACTACAAAACATGGTTAAGGGAAATTAAAGAAAGGTAATAAGTGGGGAAATACCATGTTCATGGATTGGATGACTCAATACTGTTAAGATGGCAGTTCTTCCCAAACTGATCTGTAAGTTCGACACCAGTCCTATCAAAATCCCAGCAGGCACTTTGGTGGACATTGGCAAGCTGATACTACAACTGACATGAAATGCAAAGTCTCTACAATAAGCAACCCAGTTTTGAAAAAGAGCAAAGTTGGAGATTTTACACTACCCAATTTCAAAGTTTCTTATAAAATCAAGGCAATCAAGTCAGTGGGATACAGGTGTAAGGACAGGCATGTGTATCAATGGAACAGAAATGAGTCAAGAAATAAATTCTTATACTTTTAATTTCAACGATGTTGCCCTTTTCCAATGAGAAGACAGTCTTTTCAACAAATTGTGGTGGTATGACTGGATGTCAATAAGCCAAGAACAACAACAACAACAACAAAAAAAAAAAAAAACAGGAAGAAGAAGCTGGAACACAACAGCCAGTCCAGAATTAGACCCACACAAATATAGTCAACTGATCTTTGACAAAGGAGCAAAGTGAAGTCACTGAAGAAAGGACAGTCTCAATAAGTGACACCGGACAACTTGATATCCACATGGAAAAAAAAACCAATCTAGACACACACCTTAAATACTTCAAAATTTTTAACTTAAAATGAATCACAGCATAAATATAAAATGCAAAACTACAAACCTCCTAGAAAATACACAAGAGAATATCCAGATGACCTTGGGTTTTGTAACATATTTTTTACATACAACACGAAAGGCATGATCCAGGAGAGCAAAAATTGGCAAGCTGAATTTCATTAAAATTAAAATTTGCTGGGGCACCGGGGTGGCCCAGTTGGTTAAGCATCCGACTCTGGATTTCAGCCCAGGTCATGATCTCATGGTTTGTGAGTTCGAGCCCCACATCAGGCTCTCTAGTGTCAGTGCTGAGTCTGCTTCAGATCCTCTGTCTCACTCTCTCTCTGCCCCTCTCCCACTCTCACTCTCCCTCTCTCAAAAATAAATAGTGCACTTATTTAAAAAAAATTAAAATTTGCTGCCCAAATTTTTGACATGTGAAAGACGATGTCAAAAGAATGAAAAGACAAGGCACAAACTGGGAAAAAATATTTGCAAAAGGCACATTTGTCTGATAAAGGACTGTTATCCAAAATATATGAAGAGCTTTTAAAACTCAACAATAAGAAAACAAACAACGTGATTTAAAAGTGAGCCAAAAATCTTAATAGATACCTCATCAACAAAGCTATTACATATGGCAGGTAAGGATATCAAAAGATGCTCCACATCATATGTCATCAGGCAAATGCAAATTAAAACAACGAGATATCACTGCACACCTACCAGAATGGCCAAAGCCCAAAACACTGTCAACACCAAATGCTGCTAAGGATGTGGAGCAACGGGAACTCTCATTCATTGCTGGTGAGAATGCAAAATGGTACAGCAACCCTGGATGAGTTTGGTGGTTTTACAAAAGCAAACAGAACTTGTTCCATATGATCCTTCAGTTGTGCCCCTTGATATTTATCTGAAGGAGTTGAGAACCTGCACATGAACGTTCACGGCACCTATATTCATAATGGCCAAAAACTGGAAGCAACCAAGATATCCTTCAATATGTGAATGGATAAATAAACTATGGCACATCCAGATAATGGAATATGATTCCATGCCGAAAAGAAATAAGCTATCAAGCAAAAAAAAAAAAAAAAAAAAAAAAAACATGGGGAAACCTTAAGGCATATTACTTAAGGAAAAGTCCCAATCTGAAAAAGTCTACATACTGTACAATTACACCAGTTATATGACATTCTGGAAAAGGCAACACTATGAAGGCAGCAAAAAGATCAGTGGTTGTTAAGAGGCTGTGGGGAGGGAGCAATGAATAGAGGGAGCATGGGGGTTTTCAGGGCAATGACGCTTGTACGACGCTACAAGGATAGAGAAACATCCTTCTGCATTTGTCAAAACCCATAGAATATACAACATAAGTAATGAACACTAATGTAAACTATGGGCTTTAGTTAATAATAATGTATTCTTATGGGCTGAACGGCGTCTCTTATATTGAAGCCCAACCCTGAGTACCTCAGAATGTGACTGTATCTGGAGACACACACTTTACGAGACAATGAAGTTGGGGCACCTGGGTGCCTCGGTCAGTTAAGCGTCCAACTTCGGCTCAGGTCATGATCTCACAGTTCATGAGTTCGAGCCCTGCATCGGGCTCTATGCTGACAGCTCAGAGCCTGGAGCCTGCTTTGAATTCCGTGTCTCCCTCTCTCTCTGCTCTTCCCCACTCATGCTCTGTCTCTCTCTCCTTCAAAATCAAATAAAAACATTAAAAAAATGTTTTTAAAGAGGTAATGAAGTTAAAGCAAGGTCTTTTGAGTGAGCTCTCATCCAATTTGACCGGCGTCTTTATAAGAAGAGGAAATTTGGACACGCAGAGAGATATGCACACATAGAGGAACGACCGTGTGAGGACACAGCAAGGAAATGGCCACCTACAAGCTAAGGAGGGAGGCTTCAGAAGAAACCAAACC